TGTGTGTGTGTGTGTGTGTGTGTGTGTGTGTGTGTGTGTGTGTGTGTTTGGTGAGGATAAGCAGAATGAACGGTTAGAACATTGTGTTCAGGACAGTCTTCTCAGTTCTCTGCCCACTGTAGTCTTTTCTATTCTCTCAGTAGAATTTCTCTCACTCATAATCACCCAGCAATAAACACACACGCACACACATGTACAAACAAAAGCATACACATAAAAACATATACAAAAACACACATAAGGTGAGCCTTGTCTTGGCTGGTCTGCCTGAGAACCTCTGAGGGCGAAACTCTAGTCCCCCACATGGCCCAATTTCCACTCCAACAAGAAGAAACAATCATGAACCAGGAAATCTCTCCAAACTGCAGGCACAAATGCTCATTGGTGGGAAAAGAACTGCTCATAGAAAAAAGGTGATTCATTGAAAAGAAACAGACGATAAAAACTGCAGTTTTCCTTAAAGTTAGGGATAAACAATTTCTCTGGTATTGAAGAGTGAACATATTTAAAAACCAAGGAACAGTGACCCATTTTAACAACCCTAAAGTTCAGGCATTTCTGGCAGCAAACACCTTCACCATTCCAGGCTATGCTGAGACAAGGCAGCTAAGAAAATGCTTCCCAGCATCCTAAGCCATCTTGGTGCAGACACTGACTAGTTTAAGGAGGCTGGCTGAAGAATCTGGGCTGAAAAGTACCACTCGCTACAGGAGATGATGCTCATGATCATGATGATCACGATGATGACGAAGACGATAATGATGAAGTTCCAGATCTGGTGGAGGAGAATTTTTATGATGCTTCTAAGAATGATGCAAACTGAACTGAGGCGACTTCTGAAGAACTCTCAGAAGTTACAGGAGCTGCTAATTTATATCACGACTGCTTTGTAAAATTGTTTTGTTTGTGGATTGGATAAAATTTAGCTCACTAGTATTGTTAAGCCCAAGTCCCCTGAACACTGCAGCTCTTTTGGCTTATACACAATTCATTTTTATTCTTTGGAGCAAGCTAAGCTAAAGAAGCCTGGTAATAAAGTTTGGAAAAGGTTAATAAAATTCTCTACCTAGTTAAACACACACACATACACATAAACACACACAAACATGTACACATATACATACACAAATTCTTACAAAAACACACATAAACACACAAACTCAAAACACAAACACACACACAAATAAATGTTATTGAATCTGAAGGTTCGTTCCTTAGGGAATATGACTTGCACATCAATATTAATGAAAGAGAAACATGCAGCGCTGATATTTTCCCCCTGAGAGAAAGATTTACTCCTGGGTGGTCTGGAACTTACTACACAACTGGCTCTCAACCTTCCTAATGTTGCAGATGCTTTAGTACAGTTCCTCATGTTGTGGTGATCTCAAACTATAAAATTACTTTATTGCTACCTCACAACTGTAATTTTGCTACTGTTATGAATCTTACTTTAAATTTCTGATATGTGAGCCCCTGTGAAAGTGTTGTTTGATCCCCAAAAGGGTCACAAGCCATGGGTTGAGAACCATTACATTATACAGATCAGACTAGTTTTAGTTCCACAGGGATCAGCCTGCCTCTGCTGTGCAAGTGCTCAGATTAAAGGTGTGCGTTGATGTGCCAGCCACAGAGTGGTCTCGATAGATGATAAGGTGTAAAGTACAAGATGTTTGTATCCTGCTTTGTAAGATTGATAAATACTTTAACATAACTTACCAGCTCTAGTCAATGTGGTCAATTATTCATTGATGTCCTTCCTTTCTCACTAGATCTCATCTGGGGACAGGCTTACATTTTCATGTTTCCTGCTTTCCCTTACTCTCATGATTTTCATAGTACTGATAATTTTGCACAAACAAACAAAAAATGTCTGTACTACAGCCCACCCTTTATTCTTTTTCTTTCTATGGTGTGTGTATGTGTGTGTGTGTTAATGTTTTGCTGCTGTATTGGAATTTTTTGAGCCAAACTGTCACTGTGTAAACAAGGCTAGCTTAGGTCTCCATGTATTACTGATTCGACTAAAACTTAATACACTCTTTATTCCTCTGTCTGTAGTACTGGATCACAGCATGGGCCGCTATGCCCATTTTCTGTTACTCTATTCTCTTTAATGAAATGCTGCTCAGTTTGGACATTGTGATGCCTTCTCTGGCATCAACACATTTACTTACTTGCTCAGTTCTCTACTATCTACATCAAAAGTGGTTTCTTAAGAATTGTTCATAGATATAGCTATACAAAATAAATATACAAAAACAAAAAAGGATTTGGTTCCAAATCAAGTAAATTCACCCTCATCCCACTCTAACCATGCCTCAGGTTAGGGGTCTGGTCGAAGCTATAAGTTACTTAGATTCCTTTAATCTCTTTTTAGAGTGACCATGTAGCTCATTTGAAATATAATTGATCTTATTTATATTAGCTTGATTTTAGTTTTAGTTTTTTGTTAGCCTTCCATTCCTTTATTATTAATAAGATTGTAATATAGAGTATGAAGAGGGTCCAAAGTCAACATTATACAGAAGGCATACTCAGAGCTTTCATCCCAGTCTTTATTAAAAAAGAATCTTTTGGCCAGGTGTGGTGGCGTACACCTGTATCCCAGCACTTGGGGAGGTATAAGCAGGCAGGACTTTGGGAGTTTAAGGCCAGCCTGCTCTACAAAGTGAGTTCAGGACAGCCAAGGCTACACAAAGAAACCCTGTCCTGAAAACCCAAAAAGAAAAAAAAAATCTCTCTCATCTGGTAAGAGTTAACTTACTTTGGAACAAAGCAAAGGAATTAACTTTGCTTCCTTTGGCTTTCTCCCCTGTGCCATGCCACCCCACCCCCTCTCAGCATTTTAAAAAATTGTGTTTTGTGGGAGTGGTGTGTGCACATGAGTTCGCAAGTGTATGTACCTCCAAAGATATATGGAGCCCAGAAAAAGAGATTAGAAGTCTTGCCTTATTGCCTAAACAGGGTCTTTCGCTGACTGGTTAGGCTACCAGTTAAACTATTCTGTCTGTCTAGCAATCTCTTAGACTCTGCCTTTCTCTCTCTTCCAGGGCTTTATCTCACAGACAGCTTTATCTGGTCTTTTATACAGATGCTTGGGATTTGAACTCAGAGCCTCATACCTGTAGAGGAAGCTCTTACCCACTGAACTATCTCTCCACAACCAGGGTGTTTCTTTTATCCTTCAAGTACACCCAGCAAGCTCACTATGCTATTTAGCAGTCTATTTGAGTGTATTTTCTATTATTTTCTCAATAGCTTAGTACTGAATTTTTGTATGCAATGCCATTTAGTCAATTTGTCTACTATTCTTAGGCATTTGAAGTTTCCACTAGACAGAAATTATAAATAATAATTCATGGCATTATTCGCCTATCTGTATTTTTCTTACTTTTGGAGATCTTATCATCAGTATAAATATCAAGAGTGAGATTTCTGGGCCAAAAGTAGAGTTATACTCAAATTTACATTTAATTATTACCTTCTCATTTCATCTTAATGTCTAAATCTTTTGGTTTGCTTTGGCAATCACATTCTCGCTCACATCTCCTCTAACAATAACCTTCACTGACATGTTTCAGGACCAGCCTTTCCAGATTATATTACTCCCCTGTTCTGGCTTGTTTTATGT